GTATTTCCTTACCTTGAGAATTATCTTTCGTTTTCACTTGAGTGAACTATAAGTCAGTTAGACAGTGAGATTAATGATATTTCCGCAGAGTGAAGGACAGAACAGCTCAGCACAAAGATTGGCAAACACATCATGTCTCTCTCTTTTTTTCCCAGTAATATTAAGCAGATGAGGTGCACATGTGGTTAGGTGTGATGCTGGGTTTCCCATATGTTAACATGATTGAAAGAAACAATTGAAATGCTCAATCACTGTAAGGAAAATCAGTCTCAGGGCAGGAACACTTCTTCGAAGTACGTGAGCAGGCTCCAATACATTTCATGTCCTGCTTTGGGGCTTCCAGTAAGATTTTTCGCACTTAAGCAGAATCCCTTTAACACACAAGAGGACCTGATGGACTGCCACTTTGATCCAGTTCCAACATGGGTCTGCTATGATCGAGGTGTTTTAAGTATGATAATAATCCCTTAAAAAAGATGTGGTCACTCAATCCACGACTGTTTGTGGGACACTGCTGTGCCCAATTGGCTGCCGGGTTTTGCCCACAAAATATATAGTCATTTCGCACTACAGTATACTCTGAAGCGCTTTGAGACTCTCAAAGATGTAATAAGGCACTATATCAAATGCAAGGATTACTTGATAATAATAATACTTGCATTTGATATAGCAGCTTATTACGTCGTAAAGTAGTTTATCTGTGTATTTTTTGGGCGAAATGCAGCAGCGAATTACTCTCAGCGGTGTCCATCAAACAGTCTTGGATTGAGCGATCAAATTTATTATTTATTTATTTATTTTAGTTTTTTTTTGGAAGGGATTTATAATTTATAATGGTACTTAACCAACAACTGGACTCCAAAGTAACCATTCCAGAATGATGCTGTAATTACAGAGCTGTAGGTTTCTGTGAAACGATTTTAAAAAGAAAACTACACTCCAGAAACAATGCAATATTTCTTTATTATTCATGTAATATTTATCCAAGAACACAATATTATAATAATAATAATCCTTGCATTTGATATAGCGCTTTTCACGTCGGGAGGACGTCCCAAAGCGCTTCACAGAACACACTGTAAAGTGAATTGACTGTATATTTGTGGGCGAACGCGGCGGCCAATTGCGCACAGCAATGTCCCACAAACAGTCGTAGATTAAAAATGACCAATTTATTATTGTTTTGTTTCGGAGGGATTATTATTAGGCTCTGTGTGGAGTAAGGAAACTTGCCCAAGGTTTCACCCTCTGCCTGGAATTGAACTCAGGTCTCTCACTTGCAAAGCGAGTGCTCTAACCACTGAGCTACAGGACTCCACAATATTATTTCACTTGGGGGCAGAGATTCTTCCTACTCGGTTCCTGTTAACCTTGCAAGCCAAAGCCCTAACGAGTAGGGTGGTCCTTGCTGGACAAGAAGTGGGAAAGCTTGCCAGGCAGCAATATTAATGGCAAGCTATGTAGTTTTGGCCGGTTAAGCTCCAGCTGGTACCCCAACACACACTCTTGGGTCCCCAAACCTTGGCTCTTGCCTAATCTTCTTCCATGTGTAGGTGGGATGCGTGGAATTCTCAGTTGGTTTGGATACTCTTAAGCACGGTGATGGGTTTCATCATGTGTCAGACACCCACCTGGCTGATTAAAAAAAACTAATTTCAGTTGCGTGACCAATTTCTATCACAGTGTAAATAACATGCTGTTAGAGGGGCTTCTTGCATGTTAAAGCTAAAATGGTTTTGCAACCGTAATTATGATGAATTACAATGAAAGGCCAGAGTTGCATTCATAATGCATGAGGAATAATCCTACATGACGAGATGTCACAAACTGAGCAAATCCAAGCAGCAGCCTACTTAAATCTCAGGTCTGTACCAACAACTCCAGATGACTTGAATCGGCCAAGCAATAATACACACGGACCCTTGCAGTCTTGTCCTTTGAAACTCTTCAAGTAAATCTGCGCATTTCAGCAGACGTTAATAAAATACTGTTTGTTTGACATCTATAATTGTACAATTGTAAACCTGGAAGAATGCGAGACTGCACCAGTGTGTTCCATCGCTTTGCCCTCACTCATTAATCTGCTGCATCCCCATCAGCTTTGTAATTTTCCATCATCTATGGAACTTACATGATAACCCATTAAGGCATTTACTGCAAGAGAATTACTGTAATAATTTAGCTTTATTTTAACCTTCGGCTGATCTGTTATTGAATACTGCAGCAGTTCAGTACTTTAGATGGTATTATCTGCATGGCGACATCAAAGGTCAAAGCAATTCCATTCTGATATCACTCTGGGGACAAGGGACTGTATAGGAAGCTTGGAATGAGAAAATGGCATCCAGCTACAAGGCCCATTCTTCTACGGAGCGTAAACACCCACTTGGAGTCTTGTAGAGTAGTGGCTCGAGCACTCACCTCCTGGGCGGGGCAAAATGTTGGGCAAGTTTCCTTACCCCCACATCCGTTTAACTCGCAGTAAGAAGGAACCTGGTTGTTAGTTGATTGGCGGATGGCTTTCTGTGGGTAATAATCCCTTAAAAAAATAACTTGGTCACTCAATCCACGACTGTTTGTGGGACGCTGCTGTGCGCAATTGGCTTCTGTGTTTCGCCCACAAAATACACAGTCAATTCACTTTACAGTATATTCTGTGAAGAGCTTTGAGATGTCTCAATGTCGTGATAAGGTGCTATATCAAATGCAAGCATTATTATTATTATATCCACACTATGCATACCTCTGCTCCTTCTTTTCAGTCATTTGTCTCTTCGCCACCCACCCCATCCCCATTGATTTGAAGCTATATTCTATAGTAACAGGACCTCAATTCTTGAAAAACAACAGGATAGCATTGAGTGATACTTAGTCTAGATCAGTGATTGTGGATCTGCATTAACCAAAGCTTCACGTATTTCTGCTCACATTACCTTGAGGATCCCAGGGTTTATCAGCTGCTTGTCAGTCTCGCTCAGAGGTAGCCTGGCTCACTCTCGCATCTGAGTCAGATGGTTGTAGGTTCAAATTCCACGTCAGGACTTGATCTCGCAAGATTTAAGATGACACTCCAATGCAGTGCTGGGGGTATGGTGCATTGTCAATTGAGGTGCCGTTCTTTTGATGAGACATTGAGCTGAGGTCTCGTCTGCCTGTTCAGGTGGATGTTAACAAACCCATGGCACTATTTGTAAAGAGAAGGGAGTTTCTCCTGATGTCCTGGCCAACAATCCCCCAAATAAAATTGGTAATTTGTTTAACTGCTGTTTGTGGGACATTTCTGTGCGCAATTGGGCTGCCATGTTTGCCTACAAATACACAAGTCACTCCATTTCACTGTAAATCCTGTGAAACAACTTTGAGACGCCCTTCTGACATGATAAAGCACTACCAAATGCATGGATTAGGAATTGATTGTGTTTGGTCTAGTTGCCTTCTAGGTATTTCATTCTGTCACTGTATCAATAACCCAAACTCCACTGATGTCTATGTGCATTAAAGATTCTCGAATCGGAATGACTTAATCCAGAGTTTATTTGTGAAAAGAAATCTGAAGTATAAATGAAGGAAAAAGGAATGTAGGGGTATAGATGAGGGGAACAGGAAATGAAGGCTCATGTGAAGTATAAATACCGTCACACACTAGTTGGACTGAATGGACGGTTTCCGTATAATTGTACGCAATCTTCTCTCATCTATACCCCTCTATTCCTTTCTCCCTCGTGTATGCCTGAAGTTTTATCTTAGATAAAAGTTTCACATTCCACATTGCTCTACTGCCCTCTAACTTCCTCTAATGAACTTTTAGTTCAAAGCTGAACTGGCTTCTCTATGATTCCCGATCCTCAATACTTTCTGTCTCCTTTCATATTTCAAAATATCTCTCCTTGGCTTTTAAATTGCTTTTTCAGGCATTCAGGTCTTGCGTTTGCTACTTTTTCTTTTGTTGGAATACACTTTCTTTCTACTTTGCTTGTAAACATCTTAAAAATAATTCCGTTATTGGTGGGATTTTCTTTCTCTAGTTCAGCTTCCCGCTTAAACCAAACCACCACAGAGCTCTCTTCTCATATCTGCAAAATCTGTTCTCCTAAAATGATTCACCTCTGAATTATTATTTTGGGTCTCAGCTTTCAGTACGGCATCAAATGAACTCTCGCATGATCACTGGAGCTCTTATGTTCACTCGCCACACATGTTACTGATCGGTTTGTCTACAAAACACACAGTTACTACACTTTACAGTATATCCTGTGAAGCTCTCAACATGAAATTGCTGTACCAAATGAATTATGCTTAAAATGTTTTATTAGTATTACAGTATATCCTGTGAAGCGGTTGGAGATGTCCTCTCGACATGAAAGGTGCTGTATCAAATACAGGATGACCAAAAAGTTGTGCCAACTACGCTATGATCCAAAATGAAAATTATCATCATTTCTTTAAGAGTTATTAGACATTGTAATGGTATCACAACTTTTCGGTCACCCTGTACAAGAACTATTTATTAACTAGTCTTGTGTTTATTCCGCCTCTGACAGCATTTGTTTGCTATTGCAGTGGCTCTTGTGACACTGAAGTTTATTTCATAAAGTGTTTGAAAAAAACTTTTGAGCTTCTAAATGACACAACGCACACTGACACACACCGGAGACAACAGTACAAGAACAGCGTTCTTCTGGAGCACTTTTTAAACCTCAGTGTGTGCTCAGAACAACAACAACAAATTGCATTTGTGTAGCTCCTTTCACGTCGGCTGGACAGTAAAGGGTTTGCACCCAGGCTCCGAGCTGGAGTTAAGAGGGGTGGAGGGCAAGAGGGAGGTGGTGGGAAGATGACCAAAGGTGAATAACTTGAATGGAGCACAATAACCCTGTACTGTTGTTAATATCATTGTTATTATTATCATTAATATTATTATCATTATTTGCCCTCCCGTCGCTCAGCATCGTGCTCTGCCTCTGTCAAGCGCTCTGGGATGCTACCCTGGGTGAGATGGGCTATGTAAATGCAAGCTGTTGTTGTAATTATTGTCTCAGTAGCACGGTGATGAACTAGAACCAGCACGGCATCCAGATGAGGGTACGCAGGGCAGCACATGTTGCAACTCCAGCAAGCATTCCCAGTGCAATCTGATTTCCTGTGTTGTGATATGGATCATAGTGAGCAAATACACGGCTGGTCCTGGGCACTGAGGAAGAACAACAATTAATTATCAGCATAAAGCGTCACAGGAAACAGTTCAGAATCTCCGCTAGTGGTCCTTGCTGATGTGATTTCGAGTTTAAGAGAGTTGGGTTACGGGTCCACCTTGAATAGAGCAGCATAGAAGGGTGTGATATGTTGCACTATGAAGAAACAGGGAAATGAAACCCAGGGTGAATCGTTCCCTCTGTACAATGCAGCAGGACAAGAGGGCATAGGGCTATTTTAGGACAGATAGCAGGAAGTAAATGAGTCCAGATTCATGGTCTCAGTCATTCTTCCGAGTAACCCATTCAAGCTTCACACAAGTACTTATGTACAAGCAAACAGCACTTTGGTTTTTAAGGTCTCATTCAAACGACTTCACCTCCAGCAATGCAGCAAACCCCCAGCACTGCATTGGAATGTCAGCTCAGACTATATAAATTCCAAATATCGACTGATTGGATATTTAGTTTGAAAAGAAAAACATTCCAAGGCTATGAGGAAAGAGCGGGGGAGTAGGACTAGTTGGGTAGCTCTTTCAAAGAGCTGGTGCAGGTACGATGGGCCGAATGGCCTCCTTCTGTGCTGTAGGATTCTATGATTCTGGACTGTCCTCCTTGCTCGAGGTATGTACTGCAACAGTTTAGGAGAATGTGAGAAATATAGACTGTTAACTCACCGAATAAAACTGGTCGTAAAATAGAAAACTGTGATAAGGTGCATTAAAAATTTAATAAAATTTTATTTCCAAAGACAGAAAACCATTATCTGTACTAACCCCCAGCACCCATAACTGTCCAGCGCCTTGGGACAACCTTCCAACATGAAAGGTACTACATACATTTGTTGTTGTTGTTGTTGTCTGGGCTTATACATAAGGTGTGGCAACTTGGGCCGGATATCAGAGGGCCAATTCTGTCTTATGATTACAGGTAACATGTTGATATGATGGACGGGTAGTGTGAAGGCTTGTGATCATGTTGTACTGACCTGACCAAGGAAAGTCATAATAGCCTGGGGTAACGTACACATTGTGATAAGCATCCGGTGGAACAGTCTGATAAGATTCATCAGCGGGATCATACATGAGGACCTTTTAAAAGAAGAACCACATATGAGGCATTAGAGGTCATTCAAAACCTAAACAAACATTTTTTTTTTGGTCAGCCAGGTGTCTGACACATACAGACACCCATCACCACAGCTTAAGAGTATCCAAACCAGACTGAGAGCTCCATGCATCCCACCTACACATGGAAATATCTGTGTCTTGGAATGCAATGAAAACTCTCTCCCTTTTTGGAACGCATCCTGCTTACCTAATTCCGGAGAGTCTTAGGTGCAGGCTGGCGAGGGGCAAGGCTTGGGGATCACATCAAAGCAGATGCCCCATGAAGGAGGTTACAATTTCAGGACAGACACTGGAATGTTTTCTTTTATCCAGAGGGTAATTAGCGATTGGAACATGTTGCCAGGAAGGGTGGTTGAGGCCAGGACACTGGGACTCATTTAAAAAGGCAACTTGATGCTGTGACGTGAGGACGGCAGGGTGGGGGTTCTGGAAGGATGAGATCAGATGGGTGGAGGGTCTTGTGATCTTGTGAAAATCTTTGCTGTATTTGAAAGATTCACCTACAATTAGCACCTACAAATCACTTAAGATGCTCTCTTTACAAACCGTCAGTTTGAGGTTGAAGCGCCTGTGGAAGGGAAAAGCAACTGCAAGCCTACACCTGCCCCTCCCTCCCAGCTGCAGGTGACATTAGATGAAAACATTGAGGAGGAATGAAGAAACTAAGCAAAACTATCAAAACTGGAGTAGTGTATCGCAAGCGAGAGGACCTGGGTTCAATTCTCGGACAGGGTGAAACATTAGGCAAGTTTCCTTACTCCGCAGGCCTCTGTTTACCGAGCAGTAAGTAGGAACCTGGTTGTTAATTGGCGGATCGCTTTTCCGGGGGTTAACAATCCCTTCAAAATAAATAAATAGTTTTTAAAATAAAAATAATTTCCCTTCAATTTGTAAATGCAAAAACATTTACTTCCCTTTCAATAGTTTCCACGTCATGTGTGATAATTGCTGATAAGATACTATGCAACAATAATAATCCTTGCATTTGATATAGTGCCTTATGTTGAGACGTCTCAAAGCGCTTTGCAGAATATATTGTAAAGTGAATTGACTATTTTGTGGATGAAATGTGACAGCCAATTACGCACTGCAGTGTCCTACAAACAGTGGTGGATTGAGTGAACAAATTCTTTTTGGTGGGGGGGGGGGGGATGGGAGTAGGAGGAATATTACTCCTGGATAGCGATCCACCAATCGACTAACAACCGGGTTCCTACTTACTGTTCGGTACTCAGAGGTGTGTGGAGTAAGAGAACTTGCCTAAGGTTTCTTCGCCCCACCTGGGAATCGAACCCAGGTCCACTCGCTTGCGAGGTGAGTGCTCTAACCACAACACTATAGGACTCCTACGCTGGGAGCTGATGGTGATTCCCAACAGACCTCATAGAGCTTGAGCCCGTGAGAAAAGAATACGCCCATCCAACGACGTCTTGTTGCTATAGGAACAGCTGCCTGCAGTCTTCAGGCACGTGACTGGATTCCCAGACAAAGAAAGGCACAGAGATGCATTGAGAACAAATAAAAAAAATTCTGTCATTTGAATCATATAGATCAAAACAGCTGGAAAATAAGACACATCTGCATTCAGTTTCACCACGACTGGATTTGCATCTCTTACGCCAGCTACTATTCCAGTCAGTCACTTTAAAAGGCACAATCTTCATGGAAAGGATGTGCAATGAACCTATGCTTGCCTTGTACTCGGACAGGCATAATAATATTCCTTGCATTCGATGTAGCCCCTTATCACGTCTTCGAGACGTCTCAGAGTGCTGCAAAATGAATTGATCGTGTATTTTGTGGACAAATCACGGCAGCCAATTGCACACAGCAGTGTTCCACAAACAGTCATGGAATCAGTTCCACTTTCAGCTAAGTAAACAGAGGTGTGTGGAGTAAGGAAACTTGCCTAAGGTTTTGCCCAGCCGGGATTCGAACTCTCCACTAACTACTGAGCTACAGGACACCACATGACGGAGTTTGCAACAGAAGACCTCAAAATGCATCCAACGCCAGCAACCTTTCGACTCAGAAAGTGTCTTGTCTGTTTGAAATAAAGATTACAGAAAGAGTGCACTGCATTAACTACATCAGGTCATTTTTGCCATCGCAGCCCTTTCAAATCCAAATGAATGTTTTCCGGCCTCTTTCTTTGACAAGTTTCTACTTAGCTTAAAGTGTAGTGAACGAGTCAGCTTGGAAAGGTCCTTGCACCACACTGAAGGCCGATGCCCACCAGATAGCTAATTAGGAAACTCTGAGGCTTGAGGCGACAGCTGGTGGAACGTGTTACCTGGAGTCTGGGTTCGTGAACACATGCTCGTACATCCAGCACCTGGAATCCACCCTGACTGGCCTGCAGAGAGGCAAGCAGCCGCTGCGTAACCTCCGCACCTCCAACTGGCGTAACTGACGTTCAATGGGAAGGGACGTGTGTCCGAGCTGTGGGCAGGAAGTTGGCGGTAAAACTCTCACGCATTTCATGCTGAGCTGTGTTGCCCCCCCCCCAGGAAGTTTGCAGGGAGTTGTTGGTAACTACCATTCACTTAGGGAGGGCTGTGTTTGTCAGATGTCAAATTACTAGCGACTGACTATCCTCCTTGGGGAGTTGGGGGGAGTGAGCGGAGGTTAAGCTGTGTTTCCTTGGACCTGAACTGGTTCCAAGGTGATGTGGTTGGCAATGGAATGTCAGAATCGAGTCAACCCTCTGTGACAGTCTTGGTAGTCTGGTTCCTGAGCCAGACTCTTGTCAACCTGTGCCTAACACTCCTCGAAATTAAATCAGCAAGTTGCATCCCTCTGGGGAGAGAGTCCAGATTCCATTACAAACCCGGAGATTACCATGTGTAGGTGACATGTTTGGTTCAGATACTCTTAAGCGTGATGATGCTTAAGAGCTGGCGCAGACTCGATGGGCCGAATGGCCTCTTTTTGTGCTGTACGATTCTATGATGGGTTTCCGGCTGACCAACATTGAACAAGATCCACACCTTTACAATTCCAGTAACATTTATGCAAAATCTCAACATGCAAAGGATGAGTATTTTAATTCTAGCAAAAATTGAGGGGAAAAATTATTGAACAATTTTTGTATTTTGACGTTGTTACACATTGGTTGAACATTGCTGATGGACACTCACTTAGACACAGTGGGAACAGGTTAGTTCATCAGAATCAACAGTTTATTAATGCTGCCCATCACTGAGTATCATAAGATAATAACAATCCTTCTATTTTATTGGTCACTGCATCAATTGATTGTACCTTCCTTGGCTCCCCATCACCCAGGACATCCTCGTTCTCACCTTTAGATCTTCCCACAGCCTTGCCCCACCCTATTCCTGCATTCTCCTCAAACTGTACACACTCGGCCTCTCTCTTTGCTCAGCCAACACTTGCCTGCTTCATATCCCCCACTATCGGCTTTCAGCCTGTCTGCCCCCACTCTCAGAACGTGCTTCCTGGAGTCCCTTCGACGCTCTCCCTCCCTCACCTTCTTCAAGTAGATAATTATTTGGGGAGGACAAGTTTGCAGGACTATGGGGGAGATAGCGGGGGAGTGAGATTGAATTGGATAGCTCTTTTCAAAGAGCCGGCACAGACACAATGGGCCGAATGGCCTCCTTCTGTGCTGTATAACACTATGATTCTATGAAGTCTCAAAACATGCCTTGAATGATGTGAGAGAGGGGCACTGTTTGACCGCGACTTAGGTCATCCTTACACTCTCTCCCGCCTCTCCTCCCAGTCCTCCCTCCAGCTCGGGTGCCAAGCCATGATTGTTTACTTGCCTTGCGATGTCCTCCCCCAAAATATTGCGGGGCTATGGGGTAAGAGTAGGAGAGTGGGAATAGTTGGTAGCTCTTTCAAAGAGTTGGCACAGACACAATGGTCTCCTTCAGTGCTGGCAAAATTCTATAATTCCACGAAAGGCGCTGTATAAATGTAAATTTATATTGTATTGTAACAATTATCAGGTGAGATGTCAGGATTGGCGTGCTCCCACCCAACAAAGTTTTAAATTCTGTACACAGCGAGAGGAGGAAAGAAATGAATATGCAAAAACATCAATATTGAAGTTGTGTGAAATTAAGAATTTATGTGATATTTTGTACATTACCTTCAGGAATCATGTTACAACAGCAGAACTGATTTATAAATTATTCATCGGGATGATTTAATTAGAGACCACCGCTGGAGTCAAAGAGGATGGGTAAATTACACTCTACACGCAAACTCCTATACAACTTTACCTGACACACTTAAAATCGTACCTAATTAAATTAATTCTCCCATCTGAAATGATTACTGGAAGGCCTGGCGGAGTCAAGTCAAAAATAATTGAAAATATCGCTCTTAATCACGTCCCGTCTATGCTGAGTTGAGCTCGCGGATTTTAAATGAAACATCCCTGCAACTTGGTCAGTTAGGTCACTTTGTGCCATTGAAAGTCTGGGAGTCACTCAAAATTATGGTAAATGTTTAAAATCGGGTTTCATTTAGAAGCTGATTGTCTGCAGTTCTTTAAGACTGACTTCAGCGAGAAGCTAAATCATCTTCATTCCTGTTACAGAATAGCATCCATGCATTTGGCTGCCGCGTTTCGTCCACAAAATATAGACTTTACAATATATTCTGTGAAGCGCTTTGAGATGTTTTGAAGACATGATAAGGCGTTATATCAAATGCAAGGATTATTATTTCATTGTAATTTTCTCCCTATTTTTTCCGCTCCAATGATCTAACGAGGCCCAAAGTCCTGACTGCTTTTAATAAATTGTATAAGTTCTTACAAAACAATCACACATGTCCAGTCCCTCACCAGATCTGTATCCGGTTTCTGTAAATCTATGTGCATGCTCTGCGAGTCTGCTCTTTATTTACAATTAGAGAAGTGATAATTGGAGGGACTGAAGCAATAATTGTCACTCGCTTGCGAGGCGAGTGCTATAACCACTACC